CATACTCATTTTGGTTTGGGAAATAGTGACAAATGTAAAGACGAAAGAATTACTCTTCTCTACCATTATCAAATTCTAAATGCTCTAATTTGGGGGCTGGGAAGGTGGCTCAGTGGTAGAGCGCTTGCCTTGCATGCTCGAGGCCCTGGGTTCAATTCCTCAGCACCACATAAGCAAAAAGAAAAAAGCCAGAAGTGGTGCTGTGGCTCAAGTGGTAGAGCTCTAGGCTTGAGCTGAAGAGCTGAGGGACAGCACTCAGGCCCAGAGTTCAAGCCCCACAACTGGACCCCAACAACAAAAATAATAATAAATAAAAAATAAAAGCTCTAATTTGTAATTGAAATGAAAATCACTTTTCAATGAAAACAATGTGCTACTTTGTGGAAAATAATAACATCCAAATCATCCATGCTTTACTCGAGGGATAACTAAACATTTCAGTAATGTAATTACATTTTCCAATCGCATAAGAGACTGAACAGCATGATTTAATGATGGTGGGTAGCAGGTGAGCTGTGAGTTAGGGTCACCCTTCATGTGGACAGATTCTGTGACTTAATGAGAACAGTGAAGTCATGAAGTCTTTTTTCTGATCATCTTCACAACTTACACCTATCTGTTTGGGTAAAAATCATTTTAGCCTTTCCCAGGTCTCCTTGGACTGGTTCCAAATGAGAAATCATGCCTAAGAGATTTTCTGCATTAATTATTTAGGGTCATTTGTTCAACAGTTTGGGTGACTACCATGTGCCAAAACTGTGATTTTGGAGATAGGATGATGAACCCCAGCAATGCTACTAGCTAGCATAAATAAAAAGTCATACCAAGAAATGAAATGTAGGAGGATCCAGGAGAGCTCTACATTTGCAGATCTGCTATCCTAGAAGTTAAGGAAATCTGATTATTTTTGTGATAGTATTGGGACTTGAACTCAGGGCCTAGCCACTGTCTCTGAACTTTTGTGTTCAAGGCTAATGCTATACCACCTGTGCCACAGCTCCACTTCCAACTTTTTGGGTGATTATTGGCAGATGAGAGTCTCATGGACTTTCCTGCCCAGGCTGTCTTTGAACTACAATCCTCAGATCTCAGCCTCTTGAGTAGCTAGGATTACAGGCATGATCCACCAGCACCCAGCTATTTTTTGAAATGGGATCTCATTATGGCATCCAGATTGGTTTTAAACTCCTGGGCTTAAGTGATCCTCCTGCAGTATCCTTCCAAGTAACCAGGAATGTGCTACTGGGCCAGGACTGCTCTTTGAATTTGCTGTATCCAGCTGTCTAAGTGATAGCAATGAGCTAATGAGCTTTCATAGCTTGCTCTAGGCCACACAACTGAAGAAAGATAGCAAAGAGGTTCAAACCTAGGCCTGCTGTCCAGAGCCAGTGGTAATATATAACCTTGTAAGTAGGTTCAAAGATGCACATGTCCTTTTGGGAAGTCCTGGGTGTCTGCTAATAATGTGTTCGTTGCTTTTATTCTTTTTTTTTCATTGCTTTTATTCTTGCATGTGTGCTTTGCTTGTGAGTTTCAGAACAGTTACTCATCCCCAAACTGAAAAGGGCTGAATGTCAGTTCTGTTTATCATATACTGCCCATGGTATTTGGGTTGACTTCCAAAGATAATGTTAGAAAAGCATTCTGATAAAAATCACACAATATATAAATATTTATGTTTTAGTGATTCTGGCAAGAAAATAAACTCCTAAGTCCAAGTAACAAAATACAACTACTTAAGGTTAATAAAACAATTTGCCAACTTTCCAACACATGTGCAGCCTCCTGTGTATACTGTTTTTCCTATGATATTGTCATTAGTTTCTGTTTGATTTTGTAAGGGCAGAGTCCTTGATAATAGTCACATCTGGATTTTCTGATAACCTGACCCAACTGTGAGAGTCACAGAAGTGTCTGCTGGAAGAAATGAATTTCCAGTCTCTGTATTAGCTGTTTGTCACCCCAGCCAGGAACAGGTGGCCCACGCCTGTAATCCTAGCTACTTAGGAGGCTGAGATCTGAGGATTGTGGTTCAAAGCCAGCCTGGGCAGGAAATTCTGAGACTCTTATAATCAATTCATCACCAAAAAGTTAGAATGTAGCTATAGATCAGGTGGTACAGCACTGGCCTTGAGCTCAAAGACAATACCCAGGCTCAAACAACAACAACAAAAACAATAAAAAGTCACCCAGCGACTTAAAACAAAACCACCTTGCATTACCTGTGGGCCACAAATCCAAATGCAGCATAGCTAAGTTGGTCTCTACTTTAAATCTCAGTCTGAAATCAGGGTGCCTGTATTCCTTTCTGGAGACTTTCAAAACTCATTCAGATTGTCAGGATTCCAATAGGTTGTAGGATTGAGGTCCTGGTTTACTTGTTGACTCTTGGCAGGCTTCTCTTTGCTTCTGGGGGAGGGTTACAGTCTCTGGCTGTGGCTACCTTCAGAGCTAGCAAAAGTAAGCAGAAATTGCATCTCATTCTTCTGCTTCCTCTCTCCAAAACTTCAACTTCCTCTTCTGCTTTTTCAAATCTATGTAATTACAATGTTAAGGTAATCTCCCTATTTTAATTTCCTAAATTCCATTTTCAAAGTCCTTTTTGTCATTAAATTTGACATATCAATTCTGGATACTAGAGATTGGTTAATTTTGGTGATAGGAGGACTCTATTCTGCCTGCCACACTACTTGTAACTCTAAAACATGCAAAATGATAGTGAATCTTCTCTAGTTATTCCTTGCAGGTGTATGTGTGTAGGGTTATAAGGCCGTAAAGAAACACTTGAAACTTGTCAAAAGTAATTGTCAGCTGTAGACTGGGAAAATAAAGTGAAACACATTTTTAAAAAGTTGGGGGCTGGGAATGTGGTTTAGTGGTAGAGTGCTTGCCTAGCATGCATAAAGCCCTGGGTTCACTTCCTTAGTACCAAATAAACAGAAAAAGGCGGAAGTGGTGCTATGGCTCAAGTGGCATAGTGCTAGCTTTGAGCAAAAGCAGCTCAGAGAAAGTGTACAGGCCCTGAGTTCAAGCTCTACAACTGGCAAAAAAAAAAAAAAAGGAAAAAAAAGTTGGGTTTGTGGTTTAGTGGTAGAGAACACTTAGATAATATGCAGCAAGGACTGGGATTCAGGTCCCAGTACCCACCCCCTCCTCCCCCAAAAAATTCAAAACAAATTTTGTGGGCAGAGAGGGGGTTGTTCCTTTCCTTTGTGTGAAAATGGGAGGGGAAAAACTATAACGTTTGCAGGATTTTGCCTGCTGACTGGCTGTTAGAAGTAGGGTTACAGAGCTGTGATGTTAGAGGTGGGGCTGCATTGCTCCCTGTCTTTTCTCGGCACTGATTTTGTGCTAACCAGCCTCAGGAGTGCAGGATCTTTTCCTTTTTTTTTTTTTTTTTGTCAGTCATTGGACTTGAATTCTGGGCCTGGGTATTGTCCCTGAGCTCTTCGGCTCATAAGCCACAACGCCACTTCCTGTCTTCTGGTGGTTAACTAGAGATGAAGCTCACGGACTTTCCAGCCTGGGCTGGCTTTGAACCGTGATCTGCAGATTTCAGCCTTCTGAGTAGCTAGGATTACAGGTGTGAGCCACCGGCGCCCGGCAGGGTTTTTTCAAATGTGGCCAGTGACCCTAATTTTACACTCTAAGAGAGCAGACTATCAACAAAGTTTGGGCTGAATATGGAAATATTTCTGGCCATTTGATTCAACAAATATGCAAGGAAATTTATGTACGTGCTGGATGTTCCAAACTTCATTCCTTTAAAAAGCTCTGCAACCAAGGCTAGAGGTAGAGGCCAAGTACATTGTCCATTGTCAACTGCTATTAACAGCTACAATGTATTAAGCATTTGCTCTACAACAATTTGTAATGTCAAGGTCTTCCTTAATACACTCACAACTTGTGGATATTTAATATTAATCTTATTTCAATGTATTAGACCAACATAGATCAGAAAATTGAGGCTGAGGGGTTGACTAGCCCAGCTAGGATTCCAGTGCCTTCTAAAAATTAAACTCCCATGTATTCTTGTCTGCATGGCCCTAGAGTCCAAGTTCACCAGCGGTAAGAACGCTGCAGGCCGCAGGTGCAGCCTCTGCAAATGCACCGAGGGAGGAAGTGGGGAGCCGTCTAGGTCAACCGTGGAATAACCGTTTTTTTTTCTTAGTATGTGGCACCGAGTCATTTAGAGGCGGAACAGGAAAGAAAGCCCTGCCTGCTTCTTGTCACCTACAGAAGAGTAAGACCTGCTTAGGAACAAAGGGAGAGCGGGGAGTGGAGCCACCCACTCCGGTACCCGCCCTCACCGGACAAGCAGCACCGGAAGGGTTAAGAGCGGCCGGCACAGCCCAGCCACCGCCCCTTCCCAGCAACGCTTCCCAGAATCCCTCAGGCTTCGCAATTCCCGCACCTCGCGAGACCTCGCCCAGCTCCTTCCCCGGAAAGATTGGCCCGTTCTCTTTCTCGCTGAGTTCTACGGAAGCGGAGGACAGGAGGGTGGAAAGGGTGGCGCCCCAGAGCATGCCGGGAAGTGTAGTCCAAGCACTTCACGCAGCCATATTCTTCCGGCGCGGGGGACGCGAGAGAGGCAGCTAGGACTACGAATCCCAGGCATCCTTTCGGTTTGTTTTTGTTCAAAAAAAAAAAACCCACACTCCCCCTCCTCACTCTTCTCTCTCTCTCTCTCTCCCTCTCTCACACACACACACACACTCACACACACTCACACACACCCACGGCAGACACGCACGCACCCGGGCGCCGAAGGCAAAGCCGTATCTCGCCATCCCGCTTCGCCGCTAGTCCAGACTCAGTTCCTCAGCAGAGCGGGAAAGCGGAGGCCAGAGCCGTGACCTCTGACCCCTTGGCTATGCGGAGCCGCTGCATTCCTTAGCGATCGTGGGCCGCCGCCGTCGCCGCCGCCGCCGCCGTGGGCGACTGACGCAGCGCGGGCGCGTGGAGCCGCCACCCCTCCCCCACCGCCGCCCTCGCGCCGGGTCTCGCGCCAACCGGTCCCCGGGCGCCCGCCCCTCCCCGGCCGCACCCGAGTCCTCGCGCGCGCCGCCACCACGCGCCCCCCGCCGCCGCTGCCGCCGCCCCAATCCCGCGCCGCCGCCGCCGCCGCCGCCGCCCCAGCCCTCCCCGCCCGGACGTCCCGCGAGGAGCCGCCGCCACCCGGGAGGAGGAGGATGAAGGACAAACAGAAGAGGAAGAAGGAGCGCACGTGGGCCGAGGCCGCGCGCCTGGTGAGGCGGGCCGCCCGGGGGGCCTCCGTGGGGGGCGTGGGGTGGGCTCGGCGCGCACCCCCGCGGAGAGGGGGAGGGGCGGAGCCCTGCCCACCGCGGAGGGGCGGGGCCAGCCGGCCGCGGCCCGGGACGGCCCCCGAGCGCCGGCCGGGGAGGGGTCCTCCGCCCGCGGGGGCTGTGGCGCCTTTTTGCGCACGCCCCCCACCCCCCGAATTCCTGCGGAGGGGCGAGCTGGCGGGCCGCCCCTCCCCCTCCGGCGGCGCGGCCTCGGCCTCCCCTCCCCCACCGCCGGCCGAGGCTGGGGGTCGGAGGAAGCGCTGCTCATTCACCCGGGGGAGTTGGATTTCCGGGAAGGGACGGAAGCTGCTTCCGGGCTTCTCGGGGGAAGTAGGGTGATCGGTTGGGTCCGGAGGTGGGATAAGCGTTCCCAATTTCAAGGACGCCAGAGGCGTTCTGAGCTCTGCCAGTGGGAGCCAGGTGTGTGGCGGGGAACGGCGCCTACTCCCCGCTGCAAACCCGAGTCTCGGCTCTCAAAGTTTAGCGCCCTGTGGGCGGACACCTGGAGAGAGTGTTAAAAACGTTAGTGCCCCGGGGGCCCCTTCACGTCCACTGAAGCGGAGATCGGGGCTAGCGCCTGCGAAACGGTACTTTCACTGGCTTCCCAAGTGGCTGATGCAGGTGCCCGCTGACCGCTCTGGGAAACGCGGTGACTAGACTGAGAACTGGATGCACTTTGCAAAGAATGTGTTGTTGGACAAAGACAAAATGCCTTTCGGAGTGAAGGAAGATACACTATACTGTCCACTGAGGGTCAGCAGAGCAGACAGTAACTGGAGTGCTTGAGCTGCTGCTGAATGGGTTGTGAATATTCTGGTTTCTAAGCGCCAGGGAAACCGCTTCCTCTTGAATTTGCACCGCAGAGACCCTTTTTCGACATGCTCTTGCAAAATGTTGTTGCCGAAGACAATAACAGCATATGCTTTTAGAGATGTGACTTCCTCAGAGCAAGGCTATGGTACACATACATGTCTGTCGACATGCTGTTGTACTTCATAGGCAGTGGCCATAATTCGCTTTTAATGAGGACTGAACCTCACTTAACTTTGATTCTTTGCATACTGGGAAATGAGTCCTCTGTCTAGGTATTTTTCAGGAAAAGATGAATATATATTAGCGGTTGATAGGAATCCAGAACACACCTTATTCTATGGAGTTTTATGAAACTGTTGTCGATTTACAAGAAAGAGAATTTGCTTTGGTCTTCCAGATTATGTTCCCAGGACATACATTGTCCTCAGAACAGAAATAGTAATTGAATGAAGTTTTGTTTCTGTTTATTCTATTTTTGTTTGGGCTGTGAAATTAGAAAATTTTAAAACACATAATTTTTTTAATTCAGAAAGTTTTGGCCAGTTTTTTAGAATCTTGGAAATGCCAGAATTTCTTTAAGGTTGCTTCAGCTTGAACCAGTTATGCTTTAAGGGAAGCAGAAAGGAACCAAAAAAAATTGCTCTCTCTTCCTTAAGGTTTGAGACTTGAGTGTTCATTAAAATTCTCTTGACTTTCTGTGTACAGGTGTTTATGACTTTGCAAACCCATAGGAAATTTGCTTGCCACAGTTTACTTGTTAAGAGGCAGGTGAAAGTAACCTTTAAGTCCTGTTACTTATATTCTGACAGAATTCTAAAGTCTAGGGGCTGGGAAGGTGGCTCAGTGGTAGAGCGCTTGCCTTGCATGCCTGAGGCCCTGGGTTCGATTCCTCAGCACCACATAAGCAAAAAGAAAAAAAAGCCGGAAGTGGTGCTGTGCCTCAAGTGGTAGAGTGCTAGCCTTGAGCTGAAGAGCTGAGGGACAGTGCCCGGGCCGAAAGTTCAGGCCCTCTGACTGATCCCAAAAAAAAAAATTACTTTAATACTATGAGTACTTTGTGTGGTGTGTGTGTGTGTGTTCATGTTCATGTGTATGCGTTCATTCGGGCACACATGCACACATGTCTGATATCGGGACTTGAACCCAGGGCATGGGTGCTAGCTCTTTTTTTTTCACTCAAGGGTGGCGCTCTCCTATCTTAGCCACTTCACTTCTGGCATTTTGGTGGTTGATTGTAGATAGGAGTCTCATAGACTTTTCTGCTTGGGCTAGCTTTGTACTATGAGCTGCCAGTGTCCAGCATTACTTTTTTTTGTTGTCGGTTGTGGGGCTGAACTCTGGGCCTGGGCACTGTCCCTCAGCTCTTTTTGTTTTTTTTTGGGTCCTTCGTGGGGCTTGAACTCTGGGCCTGAACGCTGTCCCTCAGCTCTTCAGCTCAAGGCTAGCACTCTACCACTTGAGCTACAGCACCATTTCCGGTTTTCTGGTGGTGTATTGGAGATAAGAGTTTCACAGACTTTCCTGCCTGAGCTGGCTTTGAACCTCCATCCTCAGATCTCAGCCTCCTGAATAGCTAGGATTACAGGCATGAGCCACCAGTGCCTGGCTTTGTCCCTCAGCTCTTCAGCTGTAGACTAGCGCTCTACCTCTTTTTTTTTTTTGTCAGTCGTGGGCCTTGAACTCTGGGCCTGGGCGCTGTCCCTCAGCTCTTCAGCTCAAGGCTAGCACTCTACCACTTGAGCCACAGTGCCACTTCCGGCTTTTTTTTTCCTGCTTATGTGGTGCTGAGGAATCGAACCCAGGGTCTCATGCATGCAAGGCAAACACTCTACCACTGAGCCACCTTCCCAGCCCCGCGCTCTACCTCTTGAGCCTCAGCCCCACTTCCAGCTTTTTCTGCTTATGTGGTGCTGAGGAATTGAACCCAGGGCCTCATGCATGCAAGGCAAGTCCTCTACCACTGAGCCACCTTCCCAGCCCCAACATTACTACTTTTTAAAGTAATACTGGGGTTTGAACTTAGTACTTCACACTTGCTAGGCTGGCACTCTACCAATTAAGTCATGCCTCCAGCACTGCTTTTTTAAAGTTGGTTACGGGGCTTGAACTGTGGGCCTGGGCATTGTCCCTGAGCTTTTTAGCTCAAGGCTAGTGCTCTACCACTTGAGCCATAGCACCACTTCTGGTTTTCTTGTGGTTTATTTGAGATAAGCGTCTCATGGACAGGGCTGGGACGGTGGCTCAGTGGTAGAGCACTTGCCTTGCATGCCTGAGGCCCTGGGTTTGACTTTTCAGCACCACATAAGCAAAAAGAAAAAAGCTGGAAGTGGCGCTGTGGCTCAAGTGGTACAGCACTAGCCTTGAGCTGAAGAGCTGAGGGACAGGCCCAGGCCCAGAGTTCAGGCCCCATGACCAGACTCAAAAAAAAAAAAAAAGAGTCTCATGGACTTTCCTGCCTGGGCTGGCTTTGAACCACAATCCTCAGATCTCAGCCTCCTGAGTAGCTAGGATTACAGGTGTGAGCCACCGGTGCCTGGCCAGTGCTGCTTTTTTGCTGGCTATTTTGGAGATGGAGTTTGGCAGACTTTTCTGCATGGGTTAACCTCAGCGGATGATCCTCTAGGGTCACAAGCATGAGCCACAGACACCAAGCTCTGACTACTGACAGGTGAATTTGATGTGCTTGCAATGGTGATAGTATGTTGGTGGCATTTTCAGATTGCTCCTGACATTGCTTAGAATGGCCTAGAGTGGTACTGGGAAGCTTTTCAAAAACTGTTTAGTCTGAAGAAAAAATAGAAATCTGGAGTATTTCACGACAGTGTCATACCCCAGCACATTGGTTTTTGCAGATGTATTGTTGAGAGATAGACAGTTTTTCTGGATAAGACATGCTGATAAGAAAACTTGGGGCTGAGCTTTATTGAGTAAACAAGCAGGCAAACAGACAGACAAAAAGACAAACAGAAAGGTAGGGGCACACTCTAGCAGACTGGTGTTCTCATAAGGAGACAGGCACAGAGAAGACACACAGCCCCTTGGACTTTTGGGGGTTATTTATAGGGTAAAGGTGGGGGTGTCCGGCTTAAACGTTATGTAAAGTTAGATGCTTTGTCTTTGCTCTAGTCAGACCCTGTAGTACTTTCTGAGTTTCCAGGTAAGAATGCACCCTGCCCTAAAATAGATCCTTATCCTGTTATGTGCATTGAGGAGGTGGCTTAAGTTTGGGGAAACATTTTTCTCAGGAAGAAGAACATCCTGTCAGGCAAGTATTAATTCTTGGGGTAAGGAATGCATCCCTCAGGAAGGAATACATCCTGTTATCTCTCTTTGAAGCAAAGATGGCACTTCTATGTTTCTAAATACCAAATTTCTTTATTTCTTTTCTTTCTTTCTTTTTTTTTTGGTCTGTCATGGGTCTTGAACTCTGGGTCTGGGCATTGTCCCTGAGCTCTTCAGCTCTAGGCTAGCACTCTACCACTTGAACCACAGTGCCACCTTCCGGTTTTCTGGTGGTTAATTGGAGATAAGAGTCTCATGGACTTTCCTGCCTGGGCTGGCTTTGAACCACAATCCTCAAATCTCAGCCTCTGTAGTAGCTAGGATTATAGTCATGAGCCACTGGCGCTCGGATAAATAGCGTATTTCTGAGTTGCCTTCACCAGGCTTCAGTTTCCTTAAGTTACCCTGTTTCATTTTCCCCTAAATTACTTTGGTCCCCTAATCTTTTTTTTTTTGGTCGGTCGTGGGGCTTGATCTTTGGTTCTGGGTGCTGTCCCTGAGCTCTTCAGCTCAAGGCTAGCACTCTTTGACTTGAGCCACAGTGCCATTTCGGTTTTCTGGTGGTTTTATTGGAGATAAAAGTCTCACAGACTTTCCTGCCTGGGCTGGCTTTGAACTGTGATCCTTAGGTCTCAGCCTCCTGAGTAGCTAGGATTACAGGAGTGAGCCACCGGCACCCTTAATCTTAAGGGAAGTACATGAAGGAATATCTCCTGTATTTGCTGTAAATTTACACTACCTCATTTTCCCCTAGTCTATCTGGCTTCAATAGGGCTTGAACCCAGGGCCTGGGGGATGTCCTTGAGCTCTTTTGCTCTAGGCTAGTGCTCTACCACTTTGAGCCATGG